AATAACGTGATTGAGATCCCTAAAAATAATCATGGATTCAATTTAAACATATATCAAAAGACATAGAACACTAACCTCAAGTATATACGAAAACGATTTTAAACTCGAATCCAATCGGGGAGAAATGTCAAATTTGTAAAATGAGACACAATGTTGATGTTTTTCACTGTTAAAATGATCGAAAATAGTGTGGAAAGGTAGTTGTCGTCGTCGTTATAAAAAATCCTTGTTGTGCGAGACGAAGGAGTGGGTCTGGAAGAGAATAAAAGACACTTTTTACGTCGTGCACCCCAGCACGCGACGTAAAAAGCCCTCTTTTACGTCGCGTCACCTAGGTGTGACATAAAAGAGGCTTTTTACGTCACCTCTTAGATTATGCGACGTAAAAGTTTCACCTCTTATTTACAAAAGTGTCACTGTGTTTTATTTACGTCGAATATTTTTGCATGTGACGACAATTGGGTGACGTAAAATGTCATTTCTACACTAGTGTCCCTTAATGTACTAATATTTTATCTCTTTTTTCTTAATATGACTTTATAATGAGAAGTTTATAATGGGTTCAAAAATAGTGTCATTTTCAATAATAATATTATAATTTGTTTTCTTCATCATAATTTGCATGCATATAAATAAAAAAGAAAATACAAATATAAAAAACGTATACATCAAAGATCTTAGAGTGTCACATAAATATTAATAATAACGTTAACATTCACTAAGAAACATAATGTTCATACTCTTTATATCGCCAACAAACAATTTGGGCGGTAACCTTTTTGTTAAAGAGTCAGCAATCATAAGATCAGTGCTAATATGTTCTATTGGCACTCTTCATTTTTAATTTCTTCTTTAACGATAAAGTATTTCAATTCCATATACTTAACACCTTGGAATACTTGTCGTCATTTGAAAAGAAGGCTGCTACGGAATTATTACAATAAATTTTTAGCGACTTGAAAATATTGTCGACTACTCTAAGTACTAAAATAAAATTCCATAACCAATTAGCCTCAACTGTTACCTCAAAACATGCCACAAATTCAGCTTCTATGATGGATATAACAATGACAAATTGTTTCATACTTTTCCATGAAATCACTCCCCCAACTAAAAGATGTACATAACCAAATGTAGACTTTCATATATCCATAAAATCAACAAAATATGAATTTGTATATCCAATTACCTCAAGGTGATCAAATTTCCTATAAGTAAGCATGTAATTTTTTTTCCTTGTAAGTATTTTAAGATTTTCTTTGCAATATTTCAATGATTTAATCGATGATTACTCTGGTATCTACCCAACATACCAACTATACAGTTAATATCTGACCTCGTACATGTTTGAGCATATATCAAACTTTCAACAACAGATTCCAATTCATTATTTGGACATTGCATGAGACTAAATTTGTCTTCTTTCTGTATTGAAATGGAAGATGTTGAACATTTATCCATTTTAAATCTCTCTAAAACTTTATTGATATATGTTTTCTAAGACAAACTTAACAGTCCTTATGACCTATCACGGAATATTTGTCTTCATATCACATAATGTTCCTCACCCATATATTTCATTTTAAAGTTGTTAGATAGAAACTTCTTAGTCTCGTTTAATAGTTATTAGTCGCAAACAAGATAATATCAACATATAAAATCAGAAATATAAATTGGTTCCCACTGACCTTTAAATATATACACCGATCAATCGTATTTTCCTTAAATCCAAAGAACAGAATAATATCATTGAACTTAAGATACCATTATCGAGAAACTTGTTTACGTTCATATATTGATTTCTTATGTTTACACATCATGTGCTCCCTTCCTTTCTCAATGAACCCCACATGAGTCATATAATAAAATCAATTTATTAATTAACTCTAACATTTTCCCACTTTCACATGATGTCATATCATTTTATGATTTAATACTTAAATCAAAATGTGCATTAAAAGACCTTACATAAATTGGTGATATCATTATTCATAATTGATTCTCACACAATAACATATATAAATCATTATAAGGAGATTAACCTTGTTCCCATGACAATGCGTCATTTAATCTCTTTGTTCTTCAACCTCTTTTCTCAATCTATCTCTTTGTTTTTATTTATTCTCTCACATTTTTTTTTATGGTTTATTGTATAAAGAACCTTATGACCAGAAACATAACCTAAATCCATTTTTATTAATCAACATCTATCAAGTTGGTTACTATAAGTTTTATTTTATTTTATCTTTATTTTTATTACAACTTCCCATAAGAACTAATTGGTCCTTATATTTTATTAAATCATATTTTTGCCTATCATTATATTTCACATGAGTCACATAATATAATTAATTTTAACAAGTTCATCCCGCTTATAACTCACAAAAAAAGTGATAGGACGGACGCCATAGTCAAAATGGGTTAGAGACCTCAATCCAGTCCCATAAGATGATGGGTTGATAGTTTGACGGGTTAATTCATAAGTTATTTTTTATATACTTTTTTTTAATATATATTTAATTATATGGATAAATTTAAAGTTTTTATTTGTTAATTAATATATTTATTAGATATATTAAAAAAACAACTATATTTATGTGTTAAAATAATTAATTATAATCAATCATTTAAACTTAATTTTTAATATTTGTAATTTAAATTATAATATTATAGTATATTTACACATTTTAATAACATGACATACAAAATATAAATTTTTTAATTATAATCCATTTTATTTTTATTTTAATATATAAATATATTTTTAAAGTTGGTCGATGGGTCGATCTATGCAGTAGCGGATCTTGATCATTGATCTTGGAGGAGCCAAATAATATATTATTAATAAATAATAAATAAATATAAAATGAAGTAAGAAGATGAAAGGGTGAAAGGATAAAATTGTAAATATATATTTAAATATATTAAATGATCATTAAGTTTGAGGGGATAAAATCATAAATTATATGAGAGTTACAAAACTGAGGAAGGACTGAGAGGATAAAATTGTAAATATACAAGTAAATATATTAAATGTTCATTAAGTTTGGGGAGACCAAAATCATAAATTACATTGGAGTTACAAAGCTTTGGGGGGCTACGGCCCCCTCAGCTCCCAAGAAGATCAGACACTGAGTCTATGCTTGGGATGTCTGATTGGTAAGCTAAGCAGGCTAAATCAAAACAAGTTGGAGGGCTAAAACTACTTATCCACTCCATCATTTTTTAGGCGGGTTTGCAGGCTTGCCACTCTGACTTGGTCCATTTTGTTATCCTTACTTTAAACTTCAAATTTCATGTTTCATATATGCAAATTAAATCCTTGAAAAAAAAATTATTTCAAATTGATAAAAAGTTAATAAAATAAGATTATAAAATGATATAGTTGTGTTACGTGTTATTGAGACTAAGATATATATGATAAGGTTTAGTTGAGTTAAGAGAGTGACTCGTAATCAACTAAAATATGTTTGTGTATATGAGGTTAAATCGAGTAAAAAATGTGATCCATACTTGTCTTAGATGCATGTGGTTATGGGTACTCGAGATAAAATATTGTATGGAGTTAGTGTGATTATTATTATTATGTTTGTATGGATTCAATGAGATTCAGGGTGAGAAATCGATAAGGGAATTATTGATGACTTACCTTAGATCACTAGAAATATGTATCATGACATAATATTATCATTTTTCAACTTTACAAACAAATGTTAATCTATGAAATTAAAACATAATATCAATATTTCGAAGAATGTCTATATGATTAAGATATAATATGTTATACATGGTATTAAGAGTTATAATTGTATAATAATATATATGTGATATACTAGATGAATAATTTTTTTTTCTTTTGTATGATTGTATTAGTGAAATTTTATGGATACTAGTATTTATTAGGATTATGTAAAGATTTTAAAATAGGTTTAATGTGATGGTCCAGATTAGATTAGATAAAAAAATTTGTGACTCAAATTGAATCAGATCTATTTTAATCTTGTCTATTTAGATCATGATTTATATGGATTTAATCCATTTTAGTCACTAAACTTATACGCCAATTTATTTTATAAAATAATATTTTTTTAAATAAAAATAAAAATAATATTATTTTATTAAAAATATATGTATTATAAATTAATTTTACAGAAAATTTACCAATTGTAAGAGTGAATATTAAAATAATTTGTTAACAGTAATTTATTATAAATTAAAATTAATAATTAATTTTAATTAATAAATTATTAAAAATAAATAATATTAATCAATAATAAATTTATAATTTTTATTTTAAAATTAAATAAATATATTTTTTAGTTTATATATTAAATCATTATATTTAAAATAAAATATAATTTAATCAATAAAATTTAAATTTTAAAAAAATATATATTTTATTTAAATATTTTTTAATTAATTAAATTAATATAAATATATTAATATTTTTTAAAATAAATTTCAATCATATCAAAATTAATCTTCAATCCATTAACCTAACGTTTATTAGCCTATAATAGAAGTATTTTTTATTAAATATTTGTTAATCATATAATATATTCCCTCTGCATATTGAATCAGTACAAGTTACAATATATTCTCACGGAACTTATAATCGAAGTTATCTTATTCGAGACTGCAATAGTTTATTCCAAACAATTAAAACCACAAATAAATTTTAAATTTTATATTCTGAGAAAGGGCCAGGCCCGTGAATAAACAAACCAGCGGTAGCATCGAAATGGGAAAAAGGGAGATCTGAGACATTCTCATCGTTCATACATTCATTCATCGCACGAAACTGGATCGGAACCGAATAAGAACGCTGTAAGATTAATCGGACAACACCACAAGCAAGCAAGCAAGCAATAAAAATTATCCTAATTCATACACCAAAACCAGAAGCATACATGGTTGGTTAAATTGCATACATAGAAGTAGTAGTGGGTGGTTAATAACGAATATACAAGAAACAAAGGACAAAAAGTGGGAGTTGGTGATCAAAGCGAAAGCATGGAAAGGTCATGGAGGCTCTCCTCCACGATGTGGGAGTTTTCCGCCGACGATGAAGGGGAGGGAGAGAGCGTTCTCCAAATCAAGCGAAGAGCGCGTTCCATTCGTGCGACGTGGGTGATCGAGGGTTCGGTGTTGAAGGCTATGTGACCCAGTTGGAAAAGGAAGAGCCTTGAATGGTGAAGAGCGTTGTCGCGGAAGAATCTGAAACCCATCAAGAATTTGAGGATCAGTGGGCACGCGAACCCAGCCACCGCAGGTTTCAAACCGTGGCTCAGAGCCACCGTGTGCAACACCATCGTAGTAGCAGTGATGTTGAAGTGTGATTCTTTTAGCGCGAGTGTGTTCAAAGTGATGATTTAGAAAAGATGGGTGTGGAGGGTCTATCCATTATATGTGAGGGTTTTTCAAGTGTTAAACTCGTTCACGGATCGTGGAAGAAAATCCCACGCAAGATGAGTCAGATAATAACTATAAAGATATATAAATAAAGAGCTCTCAGAAAGTTGTACAATCCAGATTTCGCTTTTCTTCTCCACCGATTGTCGTTCTTTTTACTATTATTATTATTATTATTGGTTTGGTGAAACTTGAAAGGACCACCTTGGAGAAGGTGTATTTAATTCTGGTTCTAGGATAGACATGTTGGGATATATTAATTACAAGGAAAATGGTTTTTGATAATACGAATAATTAAAGGCAAGCCTACGTGGTTTGCCTTTTACTTTCCGATAATCCGATTACTGTTTCTTCATTTAATTTAATTAATTATAAGGAATGTGCTTTATATACATTATTGTCTTGGTTTTGCTGATGTTGACTCTTGGCAACCCTCGAAGGTCAGGGACATAAATGAGAAATGAAATGAGTGCATCAGGGCCGTTTGACGCACACATCTCTATTTTCCATTCATTAAACCCGTAATATATATACGGAAAATGATATTTTCACAACCCAAATTCATATGCATTCTCGTAAACAACTCGATCCTCTATATATATTGGGGTGAGTGTAGCTAACTTTATAATGGTTACGATAATATCGTTAGAGTCATAATTTTAATGTTTGAGGTATTATATGTAAACTCGTAACTTATAAATCTCTAATTAGAAGAAATAATAATTTTTAGTGAATTTTTTTTAACAAATTTATAAAACCAATAATAATTTTTCTCCCATACATAATATTAATATATTAAACCAATGCATTAATCGTAAAAATAAACTTAAACATATAAAATTTCAATAATTTATTTTTGGATATCATCATTTTAGAAAATACTAAAGGTAAACATTAATAATTACATATAGATAAAATATTAGTTATAGTCCTTCAAAATATTGAGGGCAACATTGAGAATAACTACCTACTATCGTATGAGTTTATGTACCACAAAAGTCTGCCTATAAAAATTTGGATATGTCTATCCCAATCATGTTGTCATCAATGTGGTTCCGAACTAAAGAGCTTGAGTGTCATATACATCGGGTATGGAATCTATGTCATCTCCCCTCTCTTTAAACAATGACTGATCAGGTCCAACGAGTACCGCAAGTATAGAGGAAATAAAGAAAACAGAAAGACAATAGGGTGAACAACAGTTCATATATCATCTTAAAATCAAACATTATAAACATTCACAAGTCAATCAAATTCTAAATGATTGATGTTAATGATGCATGATCCTAATATGTTTTCTAAAATGTTTATGCATGCGGGTCCGAATAATTTCTTAAATCAGTGTTGGGGTAGCCAAGAGTTGACATTACTAGGCATGGAAAATCCACCTACGGGATTATTGAGACTCATGCTCAAATATAAACCCAGTAGCTCATTGACCATTGATATACGGTAAGAGTACAGTCAAGTACATGAGAGTTTGTACAGTGGGATCTCCGACAACAGGTAGCGAACATGAGTCTTTTGGGGCTTCCAACCACTACCCTTTCTATCCCCAAGTTCTCTCTCAAGGTCTCCTTATCGTATTCTCAGAGTCCATAGTCTCTGATTCCCCAGTTTGCACAAATCACCATTTTCAGATAAGTAATGTATGAGTTCTTAAGTGATTTTTCTTAAAAAGTTACATATTTCCAAAAAATTTGACAGAGTTACCCCTGTGATACAGACTTCTCAAAAATTTCTAAATACTTGTTACAATAAGAAAACTTCCGATTACAGTTTAAAAAAAAAGTTCACAATTCATCATTCAATCCTTTTAGTTTAATTTCAATAAACTTTCCCATGAAAAACCACCATGCATATAAATGCTCACTCAAAGACAATTCATATCTTAATAGAGTACCAAACATGTATTTACACCATCATATACATAAACAATTCATTATCACTTTCAAAACCATACAAATAATGAAATCAAAATTATCAATCATAACAAATTTAGACAACTTCAACAAATAAGGTTAAACAAGTTTATGATGTAATCCTTACTATATAGTCCACCCCTTACCTGATACGTTCACACTTATTCCTTTCAAAGTTTGATGTTGTTTTCCAGCAAAATCTATATATGTAATAAAATACTAGTTAGAATATTATATTTCTCTAGTACTATCTCATGAGAATTTAAATTCACTTTGTGTTGCTAATTCATTTCTAATAATATTTTAAGCTTACATTCAGCTTACAATTAACTTAGAAAATTATCGTATTTTGTATATACTTAGAATAATGTTAATGGGAAATCGTTAAAAAGATCGAAAAAACGAAGGAAAGAAAAACATCGAAGATCATATGATTGGTTAAAAACTGATAAAAATGGTAAAAGACACCTGGTAACCACAAAGATAAAAACACATCGAAAATCAAAATCGAGAATCGAAGAAACAAATTTCGATGTCTATTGTTGAAGAGAATCGAGAGATTAGAATAGTGCAAAGTTAAGAATTAAAGGGAATCAAAAGCAAAATTCAAAATACTCGATGTCTGAAATCGAGATCAAGGGAGCGGTTAACACATACAGGGGACACGGGAAACGGTTTCGAAACCGTGGCTCAGATCGAAGATCAAGGGAGCAGTTCTCTTATGCGTGAGAACGTGGAATGCAGTTTTTTTTACTGTAAGACTGAAAATACGTGCACGTAGGATCGTGGTGACAGTTTTATTAACCACTCTTAGGAGGTTACTTGAAGGATGCTCTATAAATAGAGTGAAGACTGAAAAAAGAGGGGAAATTGGCAGAGAGAACTGAAACATTAGTGTAAAAGTCTACCGGAGAACGACGAAATCATGAAGTTTCTGGCGATCTGGATTTCCATTTTCATTGACTGCCTTTATCACTTTCTTTACTTTCCCTGGTAATTTACTTTCATGCAACTTACGTTTATCAACTTTAAGTTTCTGTCCTTTCAATTCGTAGTTCCTTTACTTTTACGCAAGTTAATGTTATACGTTTAAGTCCCTCGTCACTTATACTTCTGCAAATTATGATTTTCTGCTTATTTACGATTTTGCAATTTTCGATTCCTTGTCATTTACACTTAATGCAAATTTGAGGTTTCCGCATTTTATGTTTCTCTGCAATTTAATATTCTGCACCATTTTTCGATTCAACAAATTTACTGCTTTCTTTATTTTGCGTTTCTTAATAAAAATACAAAAAATAATACTTTCGATTTGCATACTAATTTACGTTGTTTACATTCTCATGCATTTTCGATTGAAAACCATTTGCTAGCCTAAATAAAAAGAATCTACGTGGTTAAAATTTGGTTAGAACCTAAGTCTCAATTTAATCGAAATCGTTAAAATTTTTACCAGAAACAAATTGGCGCGCCAGGTAGGGGGTCTTGTGTCGAAAAACACAAAATTGGTTAGTTCGAAAGTGTATGAGATTAAGGAGTGGGCGAGTAATAAGAATAAGTCATCCACCAAATAATCAGAGTAACAGTAAGGTTCTAAATGGTTCACATCCACCAAACACTGGGGGGTAAGGTCATAATGGGAATATGTCTGTAATATCGACAACTGCGAGTATGTCGATACCTGTGAGTAATGAACAAAGTTCAAGTACATTAGCAAACACTCAAGTAGGGTCTAGTATTGCGATATCGAACAATATGCAAACTATGGGAAACCCTATAACAACATATGCAGGGTCGTATATGAGCGTAAGACCGCTTGGTTTTTCGCTTAATAATATGAATGTGGCTGGTACCTCTTCAATACAATGAAGTTCGAGATTTAACTTAGGAATGCCTCAAAACTTAGGTACATTTCAAACTTTAGGTATGCCACAAAACTTTAGAGTATCTCCAAATTTAGGGGCATCTCAAAATTTAGTAACCCCCCAGAATTCAGGGAGTGTGCAGAATTTAGGTACACAACAGACACCTCCAAATCTAGATCACAGAGCAAATCTGGATCATGGGAGATATACATTCGATAGAGATTATCATCGATCCAATCTTGAGACTATCGAAAATGCTAGTACTGGAATCTCCAATAACTCATTAGGAGTACTTAGACAACAAATGGATGAAAGAAATTTCGAGATGGTTAACATATTATCACAACAGTTGAATACAGTATTAAATCCATTAGTGCAAAACACTACCACTAGTTTCAAAATACTAGCAGACCAAATGTCACGTATCGGGGATGCATTGGCTATACCTCGACAAGCAAGAGTGAAAAATCATGCCAATCAGAACCTTAACCAGAATGCTAATATCAATCCCCCTTATTTATTAAGGAGAAATCGAAACAATGATCAACATCAGCATATGGGGAATGAATATCAACAGGTGAGGAATGATATTTACGGAAATTTGAATGAAGGATTTCAAAATGTGTATAATAACATGCAGTATAATCACATGCTAGGACAAAGGATGAATCCCCAAGGAGTGGAATTAAGGCCACCCAATCAACCATATTTTGTTTCTCCTTTTCCAAATATGATTCTCGAGATAGAGTTACCTCGAGGATACAAAATACCTAAATTCACCAAGTTTGCTGGAGAAATTGGTGAGTCCACTATCGAACATGTGGCGCGATATCAGATCGAATGTGGGACCTAGCAATGAGTGAAGAATTAAAAATGAAATATTTCCCTAGTTCATTAACTAAGAATGCTTTCACTTGGTTTACTTCATTGTCACCCAATTCGATATATAATTGGTTGCAATTAGAAAGAAATTTTCATGAGCAATTCTTTAGGGGGGAGACTCAAGTAAGTCTCATCGATTTAATGAACATAAAGAGATACAATCATGAAAGCATAGATGATTATTTGAATAGATTTAGACAAATGAAGTCAAGATGCTTTACTCAAATTCCT